TGAAGGATGAGAGGCGAAGAGATGGGATACGGCATGGTTGCATGAAAGGGAGCAAGTACAGGAGAGGTTGGAAAACGAGTGAGATATGACAGGGGTTCTCTCCCCCTCGCACTTCCGGCCTTACGTGTGCACGTGCTCTTGTCCTGTCGGAAACCCGCTTTGCACCGACACACGGGCTTTCCTCCCACCACCATGCACTGGCCATTTGCAGGGCAGTCAGGCTTGCAGATGGCTGGTGTGGGTGCGAGTTGGTGCATGGAGGAGAGGAAAAACAACGTGAGCTTGAGTGGGGCAGCAGATGGGGAGGAGGAAGGAACGACCAGATGGGGCCAAAGAGGACGCCACAAGAATACCACACACATTCAAGCTGGGTTGACACGAAGGAGTGTGATTTCATGTGCTGCGTCTAGAGCCCTGGTTGAACTCACCAGTGCAGAGGCCCTTGTTGACCTTGGTGTAGCCGGCGTGACACTCGCACATTGGCTGTCCGTTCCTCACCACGCACTGGGAGTTCCTCGCGCACTTGACTGACTCACACAGGTCTGCACCTTCGCTAGGGTCTGTGTCTGCCATGGGTGGTGGAAGAAAGAGGTGAGACTCGTTTGTTTGTTTATTTGTTTTTCTTTTTTCCCCTTTTTCTGAGAAGGGTCGGCCTGAACAAGGGAGTTTCCGGCTGACCAAGGCAGCCGATCTTTCTGCATGCACACAGAACAGGAATGGCTGATGGGGTAGCTTTTGTTGTTGAATACAAACAAGAGGAGAACAGAAAGAGGAATGGGCCAGTGGCGAGAGAGAGAGGGAGAGACACGCACCCGTGCTGCTGGGAGACTTGTTGGTGCAGCGCTTCAGAGCATCGTCCAACACAAAACTCCAGGGGCACTTGCACTGGGACACGCCCCCCTTCACCACGCACTCTGCACTGCCGCAGTCCTTGCGACACGTGGCTGTTGTTGGTGGCACAGTGGGGCACACCGGCCAGGCATGTAGAGGAAGGGGTGAAAGGGGTCAGCAAAGCATGGCATGGTTTGAGACATCTCAAAGGGGTCAGCAAGGCATGGCATGGTGCAGGGCGGTGAAGAATCAATTAAGTGCATAGAGCTGTGCTTGTGTGTCCAGCTAGCTCATCCAACACAGAGGTGAAGGTGCTTGAACCTCCTTGGCACTTTGCACTTCTGGAACTCAGAATGACGGAAAAAAACGTGCTCCTGGGGCTATGCGCATGTGGCCTGCACATGCTGATTTCGCAGAACAAGTTTCTTCCCTCCCACTTACTGATTTCGCAGCTCACTGATTGCGGCGGGGCTGCTTTCACAGTCCTGAGAGTGGGAAGGTAATGGCAGGGCACACCACAGACGAGCACACGGTTGTCAAAAGAAGAAGAGAGTTGTGGCGATCACACAGGAATGCTCCCTTTGAAACGCTCAAAGCACAGCAGACGAAACCACACTGCCCGTTGCACACCACCCTCGCTCACCTTGTCGTGACGGGGAAGAAACCGCCGACCTTGGTCAAACCCGGGCGAGCGATGGTCAAACCGGGCTTGTCCGCACAGACCGGGTCAGCGTGAAACGAGACACTCTTGCACATGCCGTTGCCAACCGTGTCCACTCCCATCGACGTCCACTCCACGGTGATCCTCGTGTTGCTGCCGCCCAGGGTTCGTATGGGGAGTAGTTTAGTAGCGCGCATGTCGAGCCCTTGAATAAATGAGTTCCGAGCGTGAGGCTTGGTCGACTAGTTCCTTGTGGAAGCATGGGGTGCCAGTGGCTGTCAGCAGTCACCCATTGGAATCTGGGTGAAGCAGCTTCTTGCAACGACCACCCACGACCGCGAGAAGCAGGAGGGTAAGAAGCAAGGCGGTTGGGTGAGCAAGAATGAACACCCACTGGGAGTGGCGATAGGAGCACGGCGTTCACCTGCGCTGGCCTGGGTCGCGAGAAGGCTGATCGCAGCGAGCCCGGCGACGAGTGCGACGAGCCCAACGGCAGACGGCCGCCCGCAGCGGTCCATCACGACGGAAGGCAGCGAAAGGCTTCAACCTCGAACTTCGAGTCGCGCGGGGATTTGAACCTTCGCGACGAAATGCTGTAGGGCCGGAGACGATCGCTGGTGATTGCGAGCGATTGGGTGGAATGAGCAAGAATCGACCGGCGGGAGGAACGAGATGCGAGATGCACGAGAGACGCAACGCGGTGACGGGGAACGAGAAGAAGTGCGGCGATTGTGAGAGCTTCGGAAGGGGAGGCGATTTATGTGTTGAGAGCGAATGGCGAGAGCGAGAGAGCGAGCGAGCTCGACACAGTGCGTGGCTGGGTGTCCGCAATAATGCATCGGGGATTCGCGGCGGAAGAGGCAGGGGCCGACGACGAGGTGGCGCAGCAGCGCACGCGCTTCAGTAGCGACCGCCGACAGCGGCGAGGCCCAGTGGCGTGCATTCGCTCGTGCCATGAGCGAATGGTTCGCGCACGCAGGAGCGCGATGGAGGGAGGTCGATGGGCAGAGCGGGCTTGACGGAGGTCGATGGGTGGAGTGGAACGCGATGGAGGAAGGCAATGGGGGGAATGGACAAGAGGGCGGATGGATATCGTGAAGGGTGGAAGTGTCGGCGAAGGGCGCAGTGAATGGATGGCAGGGACGCGTCACATGGGCCAAGAGAAGCGAAAAAATATACGCTAACGATCCTGCTTTTCGCCCGGCGAGAAGCTAGAAAAGAGATCACGACGCTTTACGACAAGTGTAACCCTTTGTTTGACCAATTTCGCTAGCCCTGGTACGTTCTGATGACGGAGGCCTGTGAAACGCGTTTGAACGGAGAAGGCGCCAAGGGGAAGGGAGAGGAATGATTCTTCCAATCAGAAATGTAAGGCGAGATCGCGCGCATTGGCGGAAATCGCGTTTTTCTTAATTGAAACGACCTGAATTGCTCCGACTTCGCCACGCAGGTGTTTTTCATAATTGGATGGACCGCGTTTGCCCCCGGCCCCCCCCACCCGATTTTCCCGCCCTTCCCCTCCGAAATTCGGGCAGCCGTGTGTACTCCCGTGAAATCACAAACAGTCACGAATTCAAAATACTAGTTGTTTTGATTCTTCAATGTTAACCATGTGCACATTCCGCTGTGCCAGCACCCGTTGTAGTACCTTTACTATATTTCTCATTTTCGTATAAGATATACCCAGTAGTAAAAATCTGATATATTATGAAATTAGAAATAGATAGAGCATATAATATGAATTTTAAGGATAAAATAGTCAGTAATATAGTGGTTATTTGTCATGTATTTTATTGCGCACCTTTGTAATGGCGTGGGCTAATAAAAAAACGCGATACAATAAACGTACGTAGGAGCCTTTTGAGTTTGAGAAGCAACCACCGAAATTATAAAAATTCTATTGCGAAAGCTGATACGGCATGCCAAAACTACATAGAGGATTTCACATGATGTGGGGACCATGTATTCGTGACTGTTGGCGATTCTTCAAAATTCCAGCGGGTGCCAGAATTTCGGAGGGGAAGGGCGGGAAAATCGGTTTGGGGGGGCGGGGGCAAACGCGGTCCATCCAATTATGAAAAACGCCCACGTGGCGAAGTCGGAGCAATCTAGATCGATTTAATTGAGAGAAACGCGATTTTCGCCGATGCGCGAGATTTCGCCAAAATCTAACAAGCAAACGAGGATTTCCATTGGGGGCGAAGTCGCTTCGGTTGGATACCTGACATGCGAAGATTGCTACCCCAGTCGCCCGCCAGAATGAGGCTTGGTGGTCAAAGTGGGAGCGTTGCCACCAAATTGCCCATCAGCTTCGAAAAAATGGTATGGTGGGCAAACTTTGTAGTGGGCAAACATGAGACTGCGATCTCACTAAGGGCGTGTTAAATCCCACAGCCTGAGTTACAAAAAGGGTCTTGAGGTGTTAACACTTCCCCTCCTGTGTCAAACTCATATCATATAGCTTGTCTATGTTATAGTGGGGTAGACACTATGGGGTACAATTTCCTAGGGTTTCCTACTTGTACCCAACCTTGTTTGCTAGTTCATTCATTCCTCATTCTTCACATGGTATAGAGCAGGTTCCCTAATGGGAACGCTTCCTTGGGCCCACCACTGAAAAGTTCCTTTCTGACCGGAGCGCTAGTCGCTCCTACCCGAGGCGCGCCTTTTTGCCGCCCTTTCCAGGTCCCTAGTGGCCCCTAGCAGCCTCGTCGCCGCCCCTCACGCGGCCCCGTTACCGCCCCTACGCGGCCCCGTCGCCGCCCTTAGCGGCCCCGTCGCCGCCCCTAGCGGCCCCGTCGCCGCCTCTCACCCTACGCGGCCCCGTCGCCGCCCCTACGCAGCCCCGTCGCCGCCCCTCCGCGGCCCCGTCGCCGCCCCTAGCGGCCCCGTCGTCGCCTCTCACCCTACGTGGCCCCGTCGCCGCCCCTACGCGGCCCCGTCGCCGCCCCTAGCGGCCACGTCGCCGCCCCTATCGGCCCCGTCGCCGCCTCTCACCCTACGCGGCCCCGTCGCCGCCCATACGCGGCCCCGTCGTCGCCCCTAGCGGCCCCGTCGCCGCCCCTACCAGCCCCGTCGCCGCCTCTCACCCTAGCCCCGTCGCCGCCCCTAAACGGCCCCGTCGCCGCCCCTATGCGGCCCTGTCGCCGCCTCTAAGCGGCCCTGTCGCCGCCACTACACGGCCCCGTCGCCGCTCCCCTCCCTAAGCAGCCCCGTCGCCGCCCCTAGCGGCCCCAACGCCGCCCCTACCGAGCAGCCCAGCAGCAGAGCTGCCGAGCCGCCCAGCAGCCGAGCCGCCGAGCTGCCCAGCAACCGAGCCGCCGAGCCGCCGAGCAGTCGAGCCGCCGAGCTGCCGAGCAGCCGAGCCGCCAAGCCGCCGAGCCGCCCAGCAGCCGAGCCGCTAAGCAGCCGAGCCGCCCTGCCGTCGAGCCGCTCCTCGTCCTACCGGCGCGCCCCTCCCCTACTTACTCGGATTGGTGAGCTCACTCCTTGCTAGGCCACTGCAGTCATGGCTACCCCCAGTGTTTTTACCTTTCATACTGAGGGTCGTGCTGTTGACTTTGAGGTCTGGGTCGATGACCTCCAGCTGTTCCTCCAGTGCAATAGGGCAGACGGCCTCTCCCTGTTCGACCTCACCTCTGGTGCCTCCCTTGCCCCGCCTGCTACTGCTGACAGCACTGTTCGCTCACAGTGGGCGACACGCGATGCTGCTGCTCGTCTTGCTGTGCGTCGTCACTTACCGACCACTGAGCGTGCGCACTTTAGCCAGTACAAGAGTGCTCAGACCTTGTACGACGCTGTAGTTGCACGCTACTCTTCCCCTGCCAGTGCTGCACTGAGCCGCCTCATGCTACCGTACCTCTTCCCTGACCTTGCTGCCTTTCCCACAGTCGCTGACCTCATTACGCACCTCCGCACTAGTGACACTCGCTACCGCGCTGCGCTTCCTACTGAGTTCTGCGTTAAGAACCCCCCCCCTCCCCCCATGTACATCACCCTCTACTACATAGATGAAGCTTCACGAGAAACAGAGTGGGGAGAAGACCACGTACCTGGCTGAACCAGAAGCGGGAAAGGTAGCACGAGAGGAGCTCCGCACCAAGCTGGAAAAGGTACCGATTAAAGAGGTGCAGCAGCAGGCGCTTCCTATGGCAGCAGCAGTGAGCACGGTGGACGTCAACCTGCTGCATAGGAGGATGGGGCACGCTGGTCATTATCGAATTAAGGAGCTGATCAAGAAGAACATGGCAGCGGGAGTGAAGGTAGCTGAGGGTGGAGAGGAAAATCTGAAGTGCAGCACATGCGTGGAAGCAAAGGCAACGAAGGCACCACATCCCAAGCACGGAGTTCGTGAGCCATACGAGACGTTGGCGATTGTGGCAGCCGACGTATGTGGACCGATGCGGGTGGCTTCACGACATGGCAGCAAGTACTTTCTTACCTTCACCGACCTTGGCACACGACACACATGGGTGACTGAAATCAAGGACAAGTCAGAAGTCTTCACGAGCTTTCTCGATTGGCAAGCGGAAGCGGAAAGGCAAAGCGGCAAGAAGCTGAAAGTGTTACGTACGGATAACGGGGGAGAATTTGTCAACACCGAGTTCAACACCTACCTGAAGTCAAAGGGGATACGAAGGCAGCTCACAATTCCCTACACTCCTCAACACAATAGCATTGCGGAGCGAGTGAACCGATCACTGCTGGAGGGTGTGAGGAGCTTGCTCGCGGATAGCAACCTGCCCCTTCACTACTGGGGAGATGCACTAGGCATGGCATGTTGGCTGAAAAACCGTCTACCGACAAAGGGACTAGCGGCGGACGTTACCCCTCACGAGGCGTTCTACAAGAGGAAGCCGAATTTGGAGTTCCTACGCATTTGGGGCTGCATGACGCAATACCGAGAGGCGACGGGACCCGAACATAAGCTTCTCCCAAGGACCAAGTGGGGGATTCACTTGGGAATCTGCCCGGAGAGCAAAGGGTGGGTGATACGCGATGTGGAGACCGGAAAAGTCACGGCGACCAGAGATGTTACCTTTTACGAGCAAGACACCTACTTGGAGTGGAAGGGACGGAAACATGGAGCTTTTGCGAAGGAAGCGGCAGCAGCACCAACTCCACTGGAGGAGATGATAGATGGGAGTGAGAAGGAGGGGATAGGGGCAGCCAATGGAAGCGGCGACAATGACGACTACGAAGACCATACTACACCGGGTTTCGATTGGGTGTGGGAGGTCCAGGAGCTGTCCTCACCTTCAACTACTGTGGAAGAGGGTGAAGAAGACAATGATAAGGGAGAAGAAGCGGGTGACAACTCAACGAATGAAGCCGGTGAGGAAGAAGCTGAAATTTCTGATGTGGAGGAGAGTGTGGCTGAATATGCCAGCACGGGGTACTCCGACCCATGGCGCATCATTGACACGGGGGACAATGAAAAGGTGGCAGCAGAGATTGAAGAGCTACTTTCAGATGGTGCGATTATCATCGGAAGGGAGGTTGAAGGAGATTCTGTGCAACAAGGGGCGGATGATAATGCAGCGGCAGAAAAAGGTGGAGCTGAAAATGAGAATGAGGAGATGGGCAAAGGGAAACGAGTCAAGAAACCCAACCCCAAGTATGCCCAAATGCTTCTGACCTGCTGCAAAGACATCCATACCCACCTACTCCTTACCACTACGGCAACGGCACTTCTATCAAAGGGGAAGGTGGAAAGCTACAAGCTGCCCACCGAGCCTCTCACTATTGAAGAGGCACTGACCGGACTGAACAAGGAGCAATGGAGGGCTGCAATCAAGGAGGAACTTGATACCTTGGCCGAAAGGGGGACATGGGAGCTTGTGAACATGCCCGAGGGGAGGAAAGCAGTGGGAGTGCGCTGGATTTTCAAGATCAAAACAGGAGACATGGGACAACTTGAGCGCTTCAAAGCACGTCTTGTGGCTAAAGGCTACACTCAGGTTGAAGGAGAGGACTACGACCAACTCTACGCACCCGTTAGCAAGCTAACAATGGCAAGGACCATGCTAAAGGTGGTAACGGCACGTGGGTACTTCATGGTGCAGTTGGACATCAAAAATGCCTTTCTCTATGGCATTTTGAAGGAGACTATCTACATGAATCAGCCACCGGGGTGTGAGGACGGCACGGACAGAAAGTGCAAACTCATCAAAGCACTTTATGGGCTGAAACAAAGCTCACGAGAGTGGTACCTAGCTATGGATGCGCAGCTGGAAAAATGGGGGTTCGTCAAGAGCCAATGTGACCGGGCATTCTATTGGAAGGGAGAGGGGGAGAACAAGGTGTTCTTACTCCTCTACGTGGATGATATTCTAGTGGCTGGAGCGAAGGAAGAGAAGGTGGAGGAGGTGTGCAGTAACCTCGCAGCTGTATTTCAGGTGAAGAAGATTCCAAGGACCACTCTCTTCCTTGGAATGAACCTAGAGAGGAACAAGGAGCAGAAGAAGTTGCTGCTATACCAGAAGAAGTACTTTCAAAGGTTGCGAGAGAGGTTTGGAGGTCAATGCAAGACCAAACCAGTGACAACACCTCTCAGCGGCCTTGCGGACAAGGAGGTCGATGTGGGAGCAGAGATTGAGGCATGGGGCAACAGGGAGAGAGCGCTCAAAGCTTACCAATCCATGGTAGGCTCAGTCATGTACCTGGTGTCATGCACACGGGTTGATGTGGCATATGCTGCAAGCTTTCTTGGACAGAGGGTGTTGCAGCCCGAGGGACGCAAGTGGAAGGAAATGGAGCGGACTATCACTTACCTCCTACAGCGGGACGAGGAGGGGCTGCTGTTTGAAGGTGGAGAGGAGAGCCTAGAACTAGTGGGGTATGCTGATGCCTCACACGGATCAGACAAGATTGATGGGAGGGGAGCCTATGGCTATGTCTACCTCCTTGGTGGAACGGCAATCATGTGGCAAGCCAAGAAGCTCACCGACGTCGCTCTGTCCACCACGGAGTCTGAATACATGGCGCTGTTTTATGCATGCCAAGAAGGTGTGTGGCTGAGGCGTCTACTTCAGGAGATGGGGGTCAACGGGGACGGACCTACAACGATCAAATCGGACAGCAAATCGGCAATTGACCTCGCACGAAACGACAACTGGCATGGGCGCACAAAACACATGAACGTGCGGTACCATTGGGTACGGGAGCAGCTACAGAAGAAGGCATTCACCTTCGTGCACGTGGGAACACATGAGCAGCCAGCGGATTTCCTCACCAAGGTGCTACCAAAGGCAAACTTCGAGTTGTGCAAGTATTTTGTCGGCATACGTACCTTGCAGGACTTGCGGGGGAGCAGCGGAGCAGCAACCGGAGATGCTACACCAACGTACGGACAAGCTCAGCAAGAGAAGAAGAAGGCTGGTTACATGGTAACCACGGGAGCATAGGAGAGTGGCAGCTGGCAAACCACGGGGGAGATTGTTAGGGTGGTTCGCCACTGCCCTAGTGCCTACCGACCTACGCGCTTCACCTAGGGATGGTAGCACGACACTAGGAACGGTGGGAAATGTCGACCTAATGAGGAGAACCGACAGCTATAACGGTGGGGCTGCATTCTAAGGAGCTAAGGAGGGAAGGCGAGAAGAAAGCGGGAAAAACGGAATGGTGGGAGAGTGAGTTTCAGGAAATGTCGAGAAGACATTTCCGTAACCTAAAATGTCCAACTGCAACCGAACCGTGTTCGGTGCGAATGAGACAACCAGGTTTCGGTTCCGGTGTCGGTTACCGAAATCGGTTCCGCGTGCGACTCGGGCTGAAACGCGGATGACGCGTTACGCGAGGCGCACATCACATTTTGAAATGCTTAAATGTGTTTGTTTTCAATCAGTTCTTTGTAGTTCTCTGTTTTGAGTGAAAATTGCATCAGAAAACCAGAAATTCTCTCCAAGCATTTACTACCTTCAACGCTAGCCGGAGGCAATACCAAAACTAAGAGTAAACACCACACACTCCATCATGCTTACCATGCGCACACCGTGCACACACCATGCACACACCATGCACGTTCATGCATAGCACTCACCAATTCACCCACCCACTCCAGTCATGGGGCGTTGCTCTCGTGGCTCACATTCGCCAGGAAGATGCATGGGGACTTCGCATGCCGCGTCTGCGACCTCCTCATGCCATGTGCCCCCATGCCTGCCTGCCTTGCCTGTTGTCGGCGACCTCCTTGGCTCACCTCCGGTGCTCTCCTTGCCTCAGCGTCTCTCGCAGGTCGTGCCACATGTCCACCAACACGCTGTCAGCACCAATGGGGTGGGAGCTGCTCGAGAGATGGGAGAGGAAGGAAGGGGAGGAAGAATGCGGGCGGCAGGGGAAGGGGTCGAAAGCATTGGAGCAAAGGCGCAGACATGAGTACACAAACAACCCGTCTGCACTCAGGTGCATTAGCTGGGCGTGGGGGATGGGAGAGGGCAGGCATTGGAGGCAGGCAGGCATGGGGCCACAAACACGCTGCCAGCTCCAACACTCATTAGCTGATTGTGAGAGCAGGAAACGGAGAGTAAGGACGGGAGAGAGGAGGGGAGGGGGGAAGGGATAAGAACACAGGGCAGCAACAGTCATCGCTTTTTGAGGCGCCTCACAGGGCAGCAACAGTCATCGCTACTCTTTAGACTATACATGGAGAATGAGTGTTAATCCCCTCCACGCACACATCACAGACCACAGCACCAACCTGGTATTAGCAGTGACAAAGGCAGGGCCACCCCGAGGGCAGCAGTCTTACATCTCCGGTGAATGTGGATGTATCAGTTACAGTATCATATCTCCCCAGCTCGCTTGCTGTAAGCCCAGGCCACCACCAGCTCGTCTCTCTCCGCCACCTCCTGCCCTACCCACACCCATTTCCCCCCAGACCTCTCCCCGTCCAGCTGAACCTTGTGTCATGGTGAGATGCACCCGAGTGCCATGCCGTGCTGGAGGACCGATGAGAGAGCTGGAGTGGTGGCGGGGGAGCAGGAGCGCAGCCGGGGTGTAGTGCAGGAGCTGGTGGTTCATGTTGTATACCGCTATTCAGTCCCGGTGTATGGGGAATGATGGACGGCAGCGGTAGGGGTGTTGGTGGGAGGGATGAAGCAAGGGAAGACGGAAGGAGAAGCAGATCAGAGTGAAGGGGGGAGCCTGGGAGAACGAGGCAAGGGTTGAGGGTGAGAAACAAGAAGCGGATGTGGAGATGATGCAGGTGGGGAGGGTGGGGTGAAGGTGGGTGCGGGGGGGGAGAAGGAAGGAGAGGAAACGGGGACAAGGGGGGGTGTGGGGATGAAGGAGGGCAGATAAAATACCATAGAATCAATGGCCTTGAAGGCTTGAACACCCCAAAGCCCTGCTGATTTTCGTCCTTCGAGGCTAGAGAGTAAAAATCACCTTGGGTCTTCCATGGATGGCCTTGAACAGCGTTTTCCTGCAGCCTGCTCATCGCACCACACCATCAGCACAGCAGTACCACCACCGGCATGTGTTTTGACATAAGAAGTACTAATACAACTTTCTTTGTGCAAAATTTCACCTCAGTGGCCTGTCCATGCGTGAGCTACCTAACATTCGCATGTGAGAATACACCTCTTTGTAGGTGTGTGGCCTGCAATCGCATCTGCACTGCTCCAGCTGCTCTGATCCTGCTTCGCTACTCCTGTCGATGTTGCTCTTTCTACCTTCACCACTCCTTGCTCCTCCTTCGCAGCCTCCCAGGCCCTGCCTCTTTCCTCTCTCGCTTGCCTACCTCCTGTGACCCCCGAAACAGTTCAATCGTCGCCTGCATGCCTCCCTGAAACCTGCTGCGGTCCCCATTCAGCCGGCAGTTCTAGGGGAGGTGATGATTGGGGGAGAAGATACAGGGGATGGCAGGTGATGGTCGTGACGGCGGTGATTGCAGCAGATGCGGAAGGGGAGCGTGGAGGAGAGACGATGGCGGGATGAAAAGAGAAAAGGAGATGCAATCTGTGGTCTTCATTGCTCGGTGTAGAGTTGAAACCAGGTCACATGTGCATCCCTTGCACCTGCTGCTTCCCCATTCCGCCAGCACTTCTAGAAGGAATGCCAAGCTCTTCCCTCCTACTCCTGCCAATTCCCTGCCATTATGCCTGACCAGCTTCAGCACTTCCACTGCTGCTGGAGCCCGTGGCTCTGCCATGCTGCCCGGCTGCCTATTGCAGATTGTCGTGGTGTAGGTGATGTGGGAGGAGTGAGAAAGGAGGGGAGGGAGGAGCAGAGGGGTGTTGGGAGCGGGGACAAGGAATTAGAAAGGGATTGAGGAGGTGCGGGGTGGGGAGCGGTTGGTGGGAAGGGATTAAGGGGTGGGGAGCGGTTGGTGGTGGAGGGTTGGGAGAGGAGAGGAAGGGATCTATGGAGGAAAAGCGCGGTGAAATAACAAATGGATGGAAAAAAAACAGATTTCTCAGCAGGGTGGGGGTGGGGGTAAAGGGGAAGGGGAGACGACAGGGGAGAAATACAAACATGCCTAAACACACCCTTACACACGGACCCCAAACCCGAAACCCTAGCCTCACGTGGTTGCTCGTACCTCCTCATTCTTCATATGGACCCTAATAGGCCTGCCTGCGTGCATCTAGCTTTTGCTGTCCCATACTTTCCTCCCAAACCGTCCCTGCCCACCCTAATCCACTCCCGGCTTACCTCATTGCCACGATTGCTTCCTCTGCAGCCCGTTGCTCTACCATGCCACCCATTTTTCTATCGCAGGTAGGGCTCCTCACGAAAGCAGGTGCTGTTGGTGTGGCAAACGTAAAAGGAAGGGGGTGAGAGGGAGAGAGAGAAAAAAAAACGTAAGAGGACACACGGCGTTGACGATGTGAGCAAAAAATGGGGGTGGTTGACAGCTGATGGCATTGCATGGGAAAGCAGTGCTCAAGGTCACTCTTTTATAAGCAAACACTGGTAAGGGTGCCTAGCAGGAATGGATGGACGAACAGAGTGAGGGTGAAGAAGGGGTTCGGATTCCTCTTCGTTGGTTGTATGTTGGTGAGTTGGCTACTGTCACCTCCACGGCTCATCGCCCTATCTGCCGTCCATCCGCATCACACATTGCCCTATCAATGCGGGCAAGAATAGTGTGAGCAAGAGATGGGTTTAACCACCAAGCTCGCCAGACGAATCCGCTGTGGGAGTTATCCTGGGCGACCGTCGCATGCCTCCGCAGGACCTCGTCACCTAGGTAACCTGGTCGACCGGGCAATCACCAAGTCGGCGTCGACTTATGTGGCCAGTGTCGACCAGCTGCTGTACGCGCGCGTCGACCACCCAGGTCGACGTCCTTTAGCTGACTTCACAAAGCTGGCAACTCCCCAAGTTGGCGCCGACTTCCAGGACGACTTCCCAAGTCCGCACCTTCCTGAAGTCGGCAACCTCCTGAAGTCGGTGACCTCCTGAAGTTTGCGACCTCCGGGAGTCGGCGCCGACTTCCAAGTCGACGAGCCCCCTCGTCGACCACCATTTGAGGTCGGCCGCCGGCTTCCCAAGTCGACGGCATCGAAGTGGCCCCGTGCAGGTCGACCAAACCCGTTGACCAGCCCGCCCAAGTCGGCGTCGCCCACTACTGCAAGTCGGCTGCACTTCTCATACACCCAACCCCGATGTCGGCTCCGCCCAAGCGAGGATGGGGCCAATACACATCTCCCGTTGACAGACCCAACTCGTCCAATGGGGTGAGTTGGACCAAGGACCCAACTGGCCTAGTGGGGTGAGTTGGACCAAGGACCCAACTGGCCTAGTGGGGTGAGTTGGACCAAGGACCCAACTGGCCTAGTGGGGTGAGTTGGACCAAGGACCCAACTGGCCTAGTGGTGGGCCTAGCATGGGACCAACCACTCCAAGCTGACCAGGCTTGTGTGCCGAGTCTACTGCCGGGTGTGAGAGCTACTGGGCAGTGAGGGACTCCGTTCACACTGCCTGGTGCAACAAGTTGGGGTCAAAGAATTGCAGGGACCTTGTGTTTTGTGCGAACAACTGAAAATCCGTGCACGACTTTCACTCACTAGGGAGATGAGGGGCTGAGGATTCTTCTAGAAAACATCCCTCCTGTACCTGAGGGATAGACAGAGGTTGAGGGTTAGGAAGGGAAAGGAGGAGGGGGAGGCTGTCAACGTGGTGGCAGATCTGGGCATTCCGCAAGGCAGGGTGAGAGCACAGGCATGGCTTAGAACAAGGCGGTGGCAGTCATCGCGTTGTGGTCAGTCAGCCATGAGTCAGTCAGTCAGCCATGAGTCAGTCAGTCAGCCATGAGTCAGTCAGTCAGCCATGGGTCAGTCAGTCAGCCATGAGTCAGTCAGTCAGCCATGGGTCAGTCAGTCAGCCATGAGTCAGTCAGTCAGCCATCGTTCAGTCAGTCATCTATGGTTCAGTCAGTCAGCCATGGGTCAGTCAGTCAGCCATGGGTCAGTCAGTCAGCCATGGGTCAGTCAGTCAACCATGGGTCAGTCAGTCAGCCATGGTTCAGTCAGTCAGCCATGGATCAGTCAGTCAGCCATGATTCAGTCAGTCAGCCATGGGTAGGTCACTCAGCTATGGTAGAGTTGAGCATGTGACCCGACCCGACCCGATTTGGCCGGGCCATTCGGGCCCTCGGGTCGGGTCGGGTCGGGCCGATCTCGGGCCAGGTTCCTGAAACAGCTGGCCCGACCCGGGCCTAAGGACTCGGGTCATTCGGGCCCTCAGGACGGGTCGGGCCGGGTCGGGCCAGGCTGACCCGCCCCTTTAGGAGGAGGGTGGGGGAAAAAAACATGACTTGTACATTTCCTCTGTTATACGTGTTATCAGTATATTTTTATAATACGCTGTTTTACTTGCTAAAAGCGTCTAGTACAGCGGTTGTGTCACGGATGCAGCGGGGTAGAAGGAAAATAGAGGTTGCAGTTGTTTCTTGGTGGTCCCTAAACTGCTCTAGTGATGAGGGCGAAATGGACTATACTTCACCAGAATCGTCCATATTGACGAGTGAATTGAAGTTGTAACTATTTGTAATGTTAACTAAGCTCTGTGGTAGGTTAAGGACAGCTAAGTACTACCCTAAGTCGACTAGCGGCTTGTCTGGCGAAATGTAAATCGACGGGGAAGAAATCCCCGCGATTTACATTTGTGTTACGGTTTCGGCCCTAACACTGTCGAAATCGGGTCGCGCTCCAGACCCGACCCGATTTCGTCAATTTTGACCCGAAATCGAGTCGGGTCAAGCCCGACCCGAGACCCGGCCCGGCCCGGCCCGAAATGGGCTCTCGGGTCGGGTCTCTGTCCGGGTCGGGTCGGGTCGGCCCGTACGGGGCAAGGTTTCGAAATCCTTGGCCCGACCCGGGGAAAAACTCGGGTCGGGTCGGGTCAGCCCGACCCAAGCGGGGCACCTGCTCAACTCTAAGCTATGGGTCAGTTAGTCAGCCACAGTTCATTCAGTCAGCCATGGGTCATTCAGTCAGCCATGGGTAAGTCAGTCAGCCATGGGTCAGTCAGTCAGCCATGAGTCAGTCAGTCAGCCATGGGTAAGTCAGTCAGCCATGGGTCAGTTAGTCAGCCACAGTTCATTCAGTCAGCCATGGGTCAGTCAGTCAGCCATGGGTCAGTCAGTCAGCCATGGTTCAGTCAGTCAGCCATGGGTCAGTCAGTCAGCCATGGGTCAAACAGTCAGCCATGAGTCAGTCAGTCAGCCATGGGTCAGTCAGTCAGCCATGGTTCAGTCAGTCAGCCATGGTTCAGTCAGTCAGCCATGGTTCAGTCAGTCAGCCATGGGACAGTTAGTCAGCCACAGTTCATTCAGTCAGCCATGGGTCAGTCAGTCAGCCATGGGTCAGTCAGTCAGCCATGAGTCAGTTAGTCAGCCATGGGCAAGCCAGTCAGCCATGGGTCAGTTAGTCAGCCACAGTTCATTCAGTCAGCCATGGGTCAGTCAGTCAGCCATGGGTCAGTCAGTCAGCCATGAGTCAGTCAGTCTTCCATGGGTCAGTCAGTCAGCCATGGGTCAGTCAGTCAGCCATGGGTCAGTCAGTCAGCCATGGGTCACACAGTGAGCCATGAGTCAGTTAGTCAGCCACAGTTCATTCAGTCAGCCATGGGTCAGTCAGTCAGCCATGAGTCAGTCAGTCAGCCATGGGTAAGTCAGTCAGCCATGGGTAAGTCAGTCAGTTATTGGACAGTTAGTCAGCCACAGTTCATTCAGTCAACCATGGGTCAGTCGGTCAGCCATGGTTCAGTCAGTCAGCCATGGGTCAGTCAGTCAGCCATGGGTCAGTCAGTCAGCCATGAGTCCGTCAGTCAGCCATGGGGAAGCCAGTCAGCCATGGGTCAGTTAGTCAGCCACAGTTCATTCAGTCAGCCATGGGTCAGCCAGTCAGCCATGGGTCAGTCAGTCAGCCATGAGTCAGTCAGTCAGCCATGGGTCATTCAGTCAGCCATGGGTGAGTCTGTCAGCCATTGTTCAGTCAGTCAGCCATGGGTCAGTCAGTCAGCCATGGGTCAGACAGTGAGCCATGAGTCAGTCAGTCAGCCATGGTTCAGTCAGTCAGCCATGGGTCAGTCAGTCAGGCATTGTTCAGCCGGTCAGCCATGGGTAAGTCAGTCAGCTATGGGTCAGTTAGTCAGCCACAGTTCATTCAGTTAGCCATGGGTCAGTCAGTCAGCCACGGGTCAGTCAGTCAGCCATGGTTCAGTCAGTCAGCCATGGGTCAGTCAGTCAGCCATGGGACAGTTAGTCAGGCACAGTTCATTCACTCAGCCATGGGTCAGTCAGTCAGCCATGGGTCAGTCAGTCAGCCATGGTTCAGCCAGTCAGCCATGGGTCAGTCAGTCAGCCATGGGTCAGAAAGTCAGCCATGGGTTAGTCATTCAGCCATTGATCTGTCAATCAGCCTTGGGTCTGTAAGTCAGCCATGGGCGTCAATCAGCAATGGGTCAGTTAGTCAGCCATGGGTCAGCTATTCAGCCATGGGTCAGTTAGTCAGCCTTGGGTCAGTCAGTCAGCCATGGGTCGATGAGTCAGCCATGGGATTGATGAAGTATCTGTGCTCTCCGCACTGCCCATCATTGTGTTTACAAGTCATATCACACTTTCAAAACGTCGTGCTGAGATCCGCTTTCCTTTTTCTCTCTCAGCAGACAGCAATGTGAGCCTCCTCTTCCCCTCTCACCACACCCGCCCCCTCCCCAACCCCGGCCCCCACTCTCCCCCCTCTTCCTACCGCCTCTTACCCAACCCAGTTCACTTTCCCCTTTCCTTCTAGTATGCACGTATTTGTGTATAATTATATCCTTCTTTCATTTGTTACTTTATGAACTCGTCTGACCCTATCATTCTTCAGGTCGACCCACTAGTCCATCTCCCGCTCTCCTATTTTTGAACCCGGGTCTTATTGCTGGGAAGTTATGGTATTACTCTCCCCAATCTCACTCAAAATCCCCTAATACTCACGCTTCTTTCGCCAAAGTCTCATTCCTATCATGAGGCTCTTCCCCTACCGCATTTGACATGACATTGCAAATGAAAGGGCTGTGAAGGGATCAAAACCTTCGTTTCACACGTGTAACAGATGACAGGGCATTGAACAAGTAGACATGTCCAGATGCACAGATTAGCGGGAGAATGTGATCTTTGCAGGTTAGGTATGTTGGATGAAAAATAAAGGTGCTATATCATATCGTGCAGACTTGGAAGTCGATTGTACGATCCAGATGTTTGTTGCTGCCACATAAAAGGCTTGTTACTTCCATATAAAGATCCCTTTAAAATATGGATTGAGCCATTTGAAAAAGTGTCAGTTATCATGCATGCCGATGGACAAGCCAAAGCCATCGTTGCTGTCCTAGTGTACGTAGCCCAATTTTCGCATTCCATGCAATGGATCACCAGAGGTGCTACCAGTATCCCTTCCTAACACTATCACCAGGATATATTTGCCTTGTATATGGTTTCAAATGGCACAAGTTGTTGGTACCAAACGCGCTAGGTAAACCTGTAAGGTGCATGTGAAAACAGACTTTATTACGTGGAAGAGACACTTGGCATGCCCTCGCGCTCCGCACGGGCCATTTCAGCAGTGAAGCTGGAGGAGCCAATGGAGCTCCCAAGCTCCATGTCTGTGCGAGATTTGGCCTCACCCACGTGGCTCTCATGTGCTCCGATTGCCTCCTCCTTCAACTTCACCAGCTCTCCCAGCACTTGATTCATGGAGGGGCGGGAGGCTGCAGGCATGGTGGTGCAGGAGAGGGCAAGGCGAGCCCAGCGCAGCACCAAGTCATCTGGTGCGTCCAAGTAGGGGTCCTTGAACACTGCCACGGCAACCGACTCCACAAACTGGGAGATCTAATGGGGCAAAAGGGAACAAATGCAAGTGGACATATATGGTTGGCTGTTCATTGCACTTCATGCTTATGAATGGAGGATCAAGCACTGGTCGTGCAATTATTGCATAACAAATTCAGGCAGTAAGTCAGTACCAGGCAGCTGTGGCTCACCCATTGCTTGAGGCTGATCTGGCTGGTCCCGCTCACATGCACGGCCTTACGTGCCGATATGACAACAAGCATCACCACACCAAAGCTGTTAACACCACACCAGCAAAAGGGACAGGGGACCATAATGAAGATTATTGTAGACATGTGAACCAAGCATTTTATGCGCGACCTACATCACAACGGAGAAGGTAAAATATGTCTCTTTCCTCACAACTGCTGGTGGAGTGTCCCTTTGACTTCAAAAAAAAAAAAAACAGGATTTACATATGCTAGTGTTCGCAACACTTGAGTGGAAGCCACAGATGATTTTCTATTCAACTCAAAAGAAATATCTTTGCCCTCTCACCTGTACACGTCTGCTACTGGAGTGGCCTTGTGGGACTTGTAGTAGGCAGGGTCCACATAGCCCGGTGTTCCCATCACTCGAGTGGCAGCCACAGACGTGCCCATAGCCGTGCCTCCAGTGAGTTTCACCAGCCCAAAGTCTGCAATCTTGGCCTGAACAACAGCTCAATTGAATGCAGATTTGACAGACTGAATATCACAAATTGCTTTCAACGAGTCAAAGCCTGCTAGGCAAAAGAAAACAAAATGTCAGGTTGGTGACTGGGCAAACAGAATGAAAGCAGAAACTAGGGTTACACGTACATGCATTTTTGCATCAAGCAGTATGTTGGCGGGCTTGATGTCGCGATGCACAATGCCGAAGTCATGAAGGTAATGCAACCCCTTTGCCACTCCAATCAGGACATCCAGTCGTTGCAACAGAGAAAGATGGCTTTGAGCTCCTGAAAAGGGGTATGTGAAGAAGTGATTCCAGTGGGAATGCTATTTAATTGCCTGTCCCCAACAAATAGACCTAGTATTCTGAAAAAGGATTTGGAAGTCATGGCACAAGGTACGCTGCACAAAACATGGGCAAATCGAGCATTCCCATTTTTTAAACCCACGTCACACACAGAAACATCCATATTAAACATGTTGAATTAACATTACCTGCTCCAATCCAGCTCTCCAAGTCCCGGTTCGCCATGAACTCATACACGAGCACCTGCTCAATCTGGCCCGTGCTGGAATCATAGTGCACACAGAAGCCCAACAGCCGCACCAGGTTGGGGTGGTGCTTGCTGGCCATCTCCTTCACCTGCGAGACGAGATAGGGAAAACGAAAACTGTGAGGGCAAGAGGACGAGAGTGTGTAGATTATGTGTGTATGCATGCGTATACGAGAATGGTAAACTAATAATATCTGAATGAGTGAAAAACAGAATTCTCATGGGGAAACAAAGTGAACATCACAGCAAAATCCTAGTGCTTGTTGGCCAATTCTTCACCTACCAGATGAGAGAGGAAAAATGACAAGGGAGAGGGCAAGAGGAAACCGTTTGTCTGTGTCTCAACAAGTGTGTGTGGGCGTGTGTATGTATGCATCTGTCTGTGTGTGCATGTGCGGACGTCGCAGAATGTATGTGTGTCCCTGTTTGTGTGTGTGTCGGCAAACAAAGATTGTCCAATAACATCATTGCATCGTGATTCATGGTGTGAGGCCAGAAGGATCATCAGCACCCGTCTGGTACCTCAGTAAGGAAGTCACTGGAGAGGACTCTAGATCGCTTCACAGCCCACATCTCATTGGGGTCATGCACTGACACGCCCTTGTACACATCTCCAAAGCTGCCGCTGCCAATCCTGTTCCCCTCTGCCCAATCACCCGTTGCGCTTGCGAGCTCTTCCAGAGTGAACTTCTGGCACACATGTGGCTTCACTGCCTCCATCTCCACCACCACGTCTCTCTGCTTCTCCCGTGCTGCTGCTCCTGCTGCTACGACCACTGCTTCTGCTGCTGCTGCAGCTGCTGCTTCTGGGTCCCTCTCCTCTTCTGTGGATGCTGAGTTTGGAAAATCAGGTTCTGAGCCTAGGAGGGGTTGTGAAGCAGGAGATATCGTATATACGAGGAATCAAAAGTGGAAAAAAGCCCGGAGACGGATGATGCTGGTTTTGGAACAGCGTGGACTGAAAAGGTCCTACCTTGGAGTGCACTTCTTTCAGCCAAATTCTTGCCATCCACATCTTTGCCTCCTGCTGCCCCTCTGGCGTGGTATCGTTTGCACATCAGCCAGCTAAGCAGTAGAAGCCCTAGGATAGCCACAGCACCAGCAGCAGCAATTCCAGCTATGGCTCCGTTAGATAAACCTCCTTCAGGCTGAGGCTGACTAGGAGTTGACTTGGGAGGAGGTGGGGAGGTTGTGGGCACTGGCGATGGGGAGGGTGTTAGCACTGGTGATGGGAGGTACATTTAAGGAGTGGGAAGATGGAGATAGGGAACATAAAAGGCAATCAGAAATGGGAATGACGGTGGGTCGATGAAAGGGGATGTAGGATCAAGCACATTTTGCACAGAGAGAGGAAGCAAAGAAGGCATTGAAAAGTTGAAACAGTTATACTTCCGTATTTCCTGTATAAACTGCGGATGCCTGACACTGCAGAAGATTGTCCTATAGATGGCAATGCAATTTTCATGCACTCAACGATAACAAAAGCAAAGTTAGGAAGGAACTATAAATTGCAGCCACCTGCATAAGAGATTGCATTTCACCTGGTTGTGGCTTGTCACATGTGGTACAAAAGGAGTCACACTGCTCGCAAAAACTACTGAAAATGGACTGTGGAACCACACGGCTGCTGTAGTTAAGAGGGCATGTGATTGCAGTCCCATCTGTGAACCTGCATGTGCACATGAAGGGTTGTCAAACAATGAACCACAAACTGGTTCCAGTTCTAAGGGAGATGCTATGGGGTTGCTATTGGAGAGGTATGGAGACACGATGCAATATCCTACCACGTCAAGATGTTTTTTCAGGTTAAAATACTGGTAAAACATACATATGTTTGTCGGCTAGAGAAAATGGGCTGACATGGACCAGCCTGGTTCGATAGCTGTCAGCTCGGTGAGGACTGGGCCGGGCCATTCCAAGTCTGGCCTTTGGCACCTTGTTTTCTTTCTACCTGGGGCTACAATAAAACTTGGGCTGCCTTACACCATTTGAACACCTACCTAGGTACCCTGTACTCCTCCACTGTGTGAGACGCTTAAGGCCTAGAATGGTAGGAAGTACAGCATTTATATACGCGAAGATGTCTTACAAGTTATAAGGACGAGTGATACGGCCCATTGTTGGAGGGATCTGGTCAGAAAGGTTGTTCTGACTGACATCACTGCAATGAAAACGACAGATAGTAGACGCCCAAGCCAAAGCATTGCTATCAAGATTTCTGATGGTGCATACAACCAGAGGATTCACAACAGAGATGAAGACACAAAGAACGAACCAAAAGGTGGTAGAAGAAAGGAGACATTTGGAGACGGAGATAAAAAAGATATGCATGATATGTCGACTTATGATTATGGCAGGAGCCGCGCATCCTATCGCGCTTTGATAAACGCTTATTGAACGCAACTACAAAATATAATCCCAGTGGACTAAACGGATTGTGAAGGCTCGGGATTCCCAGCTCCTCCTACTCTGATCCCTAGCAAGACTGCACATCGTCCTCCTGTGAAAATTTCTGTGCCGTAGGCAGCAGGTTGTCCCAAACAAGGCTTCCAGCATCTACAATTACCACAGCTGCTCGAACAACTTGCCATGAGGCTGGCAGGGGAGTGGTTGACAACAGACCTTGGTGACAGCTGTATAGGGGTTGGAAAGCTTTGACCTGTTATGACAATGTCAGATACCTGCCGCCGTTGCTGTGTGGACCTGGCAGATGGTGATTAGCACCTTCTGCAGCAGCATGCCTCGCGTCCAGCACCGGCAGGTCAGCCATGAGGGGTGCCTTGCAATAGAGGTGGCTTAACGGACGTTCAGGCACTCACCAGGGGCAGACTAGCACCTTCTGTAGTAGCATGCCTCGCATCCAGCACCAGCAGGTCAGCCGCAAGGGGCGTGCCTTCTATTACACGCTGACCTGCTGGTGCTGGCGAGGCACGCTGCTGTGAACTGCCATATTCGCTCGTCCTGTGACCGGTTTATGTATGACAGATGAATCTGGACCAATCATCTGCCCACTTGTCTCATCTGCTAGTCAGCTCATTATAAACTGAAACGACCAAGCTTGGCTGGAACTTATGTGTTCATCCCTGCTCTTAGCTCGTCGGAGTTCCACACAAGGCCATATACATTTTCAATGGAGGCAAATGCTGATGAGAGACGATCACGCTGGCAAGACAGGGCTTGCATGAGTGCATCACACATGATTACTGGGCCGAACCAGGGCTGGCCTGGTCGAGTCAGCCTCTTAGCGATACACCCCAGACTAGCATTATTGCACGTCCAGCTTATTTGTCTTGGTCTGGCATTCATTAACGATTGGACGAGGGTCAGATTGCTGCAGGAATCTTATGCACTATGACTAGTGTCTTGGTCCAAGACGGATGTGCTCCATACCATGTCCACACAGATGAGGCCAGCAAATCGGCAGCTTCTCTTGGAACAGTGGGCGACGCGAGCTCGTTTCCTTATTGCAGAACTCCGGCAGGCTTGCTGTGAAACCGACCCATCAGCCTGGCTTGGTTCCGCACCCGTGCGCATGCCTAGCATGTATGTTCTATATCAAAACAAGATGACCGTCAACATTTATTTGTCCACCTCTCCCAGACCACCTAGGCTTTCATGCACATTCCCTTGGTCATGCTTACAACATAGTGAGGTTTCTCATGTTGCCAATGGTGGATGGAAGGGACCCACTCAGAGAGTTGAATTCAAGATGTCTGATGATACAAGTAAAAAAAAAAAAAAACTGAGTACACAGGAGAAAGCATACAATCATTCATGGACACATGATAAGGGCTGGATATGTGGTTAGAACATGCAAATGGTGCCATGAAACTGCTACAAAATAAGAAATGAATGATCTAAATGGTAGGAGACGGAAGAGTGATTTTGCAGGCAGAGAAAGATTGAAGAAAACATGATGAGCTCAAATATGATTGTTATACAAGTTACCTACTCCAAAAGGGGTATGATTGTGAGCACAACATAAACAAGCTGCTAAATTTTACCATGACATAAAAACAAGACAGCAGCTTTGGCAAGAAAGACTTATATTTAGTTGAAAAGGAAAGCTCGGAGCTAGCTTGGGTTTTG